CCGGTCCCTGACATGCCCTGTTATTACCATGCACTTAATGACTTCGGATCTACATATCTTCTGGTGAGCCCATTGCTCTGCCAAGACAACGAGGCTGCTGGTTAACATCCTACCCAATGCCTCACAAGCCAGCGCAAAGAAAGGAGCAAGCCCTGAGTAAGGGCATTCAGTCTGAAATGTCGCCTCCAGGCTCATGTGTTTGAACACTTGGTCCCCAGAGGCTGGCACTGTTTGGGAAGGTCATGGAATCTCTGGGGTGTGAGGCCTAGCTTGAAGGACTGAGGTCACTAAGGGCAGGCCTTTGTCCACCCACCTCTGCTGCCGGGTCTTTGCTTTCTGGTCTACCGCGATGTGAGGAACCACCACCGTGTGCTCCCACCACAAGGAAGTCCACCACGTCTTCCCCACCACAATGGACTGTATCTCTGAAACTGTGAGCCCAGACGAATTCTTCCTCTCTTAAGATGCTTCTGACGGGCTTTGAATCACAACCAGGAAGGAAACTCACAAACTCCACATTTACCGGGAGAGTTCTGGTAGCACCCACAAAGGTCGTGCTTTCAGCCCAGGGCCCCTCAATCCTCTAGGTTGATGTGCACGGTACACCAGCTGCTACCAACTGGGAAACGTCAGGCCTCTGGGGGCAGCATGGGAATGGCCAAGACAATCAGGACGGCCATCTCTAAAGAGCTCAGGTCAATCACAGGGCATTGCTAACTCTTTGGGTCATATCTACAGAAAACGGGTGATGTGCTCAGGTAAAGAGCAAAGAGGTGCCGCTGTCCCCTTCCTTAAGGAAGAGAGGAGGGTAACAGGACACGTGGGATGAAAGTAGAAGGGGAAGACTGGGGTGGGGAGGCACAAAGGGGTAAAAAGGGATGGGGGAGAAAGAAGGAGGATCAGCAGAAACAAATCATGTTTTAAAATGCCTTCCTAATCCTACCATTTTGTATACTAACTAAAAAATAAACAAAATATTAATTAATCCAAATGGCCTGGCAAGCACCTAGATATGTAAATGCCCTCCAGGAAAGCTGTATGTTCTAGAGGCTTTTTAAATAAGATCATAAAGTAAGTCTACCTCAACGTGGAGGTTGGCACGGTGGTCTCCCTGGCCATGTCCACTGCCACACTGTAAGAACATTTGCCTACTCAGTGGTTCCTAGGGACTTCGTTAAACATAATGTCTGTCCTGTTATAGACCCTGTCAAAAAAACAAAAACAAAAAACAAAAAACAAACAAAAAAAGAAAAAAGGAGATGACCCACAAGCCAGGAGAGAATTGTTTGCAAAAGATACTTTGAATTAGGAACTACCTAAAATATGCTGAGGACTCTAAAAACTCAATAAAAAGGACACAAAGAACCAATTTAAAAACAGGCAAAAATGGGCTAGAGAAATGACTCAACGATTAAAAGCACTGGCTGCTCTCGCAGAGAACCACATGGAACAACTCAGAACTGTAACTCCAGTCCAGGGAATCCTACGCTATCCTCTGACCTTTGCAGGGACCAGGCATGCCTATGGTACCCTTACATACATGTAGGCAATACACACATAAAGTAAAAATAAATACATCAATATATCTTTGAAATATAAACAAAATCCCTAAACACTCCTTGTAAATAAAATATTCAAGTAGAAAGTTAGCATGTTAAAAGACACTCCATCCAATCACCTGCCAACACAGAGATGGAAATTAAAGCAACCACTATACACCTATCAGGAAAGCCAAAAAAATCCAAACAGAGAGAGCACCAACTGCTGGAGGGAGCGTGGTGCAGGCGGCTCCTGGTGAGAACTCAGAATGGAGCCGCCACTCTGGAAGTCACACTGCGCTGTCAGCTTCTTACAAAGCTGAACCTTCTCACCCTGTGAGCCGGCAGGCGTGCTCCCGGACACTTACGCATGCCCAAACCTGCACACGGGTGCTTAGAGCTGTTTTTTCTTAAGTGCCAGAAAGTTGAGGCAGCCATCGTAACACACAAGACCCAATTCTGCAGAAACTGACATCAGCCTAGAGAAAAGGCAAAAGTGGCTAGCACCGCTGACCGAGGACACACGTGGTTTTACACACGTGGTTTTTACAGTCCCCGATCTCCAAACCTTCCTGCCTCTTTTGTCCCAGAGTCTGGGATGTCGGAGAGCTACAGTCTCCATGCTCACTTAGCATACTCCCCACTAAATTTTCCACCCTGGAAGTTCAGCATGCAAAGCTTCATCTAACGTATACCCACAGGTTTAAAATTCCTCCCTTTTTTGATTATGGCTCAGCCATACAGCAGGCTCCCTGTAACTTTTCAACCCAAGATAAACTGCCACCATCTAGACAAGCTGGCACCAGTGGCCAACTAGAGGAAAGAAGGGCCGAATGCCTCCTACTGATCTTTGATTCTTTGATGAGCTCTGAACATACCCCATATTGAAAATGGATCAAAATGAGTTGTTTCTTCCAATCATGATATCCTTCAGTAGATTATCGGTGGTATATCCAGATAGTGAAATATTACTCAGCACAAAAAAAAAGCAATGAAATGCCAACCATTGAGAGACACAGAGGCTTAAATACATATAACTAAAGAAGTCCTGTGGTATGATCCCAACCCTGACATTCTAGAAATGACAGAACTATAGAAATGATAAAAAGATAAGATTGCCAGGGGCTGGGGGAGGGAGGGGTGAGCAGGAAGCCTTTTTAGCACAGCAGCGCTACCCTGTGTGAGTCTCTCATGGCGGGCGCATGGCATTGACTATTTGGTCAAAGCCGCAGAATGTACGCCACCCAGAAGGAGACTAAATGAACACATGGCCTGTGGCTGATGATGTACCAATGTGGGCACACCAGCAGTAATATCTGTGCCACTGTGGTCGAGGATGCTGGCAACGTAGGAGGCTGTGTTCGTGAGGAAGGTGTTAGGTGGGAAATCTCCGCACCTCCAACTCGATTCTCCTGTGAACCTAAAACTACTCTGTCAACAAATGATTCAGTTCTAGAAAAAGAATTGATCGTGGGTTATTTCTAAGAATGGAAAAAAATGCCAGAGTTAGCTAATCCACCAATCAGGTCCTCCATTCTCAGAGTGTAGGAGGCCTCAAAGTCTTCAATTCCTCTAACACTTCCTTTTCCCACTACCAAGAGAAGCCACTTCCCTGTCTAACGGTGGCCCCATCAGCAGCCCGAACTCTAACACACATCTTCAGTCTATCTGAACTGAACCTTTAGTCCTTCACTCGACAGGTCCTTTTCCACTTCTGCCTCCAAACATAGTCTTGTTTTTAAAGGATTCCTAAGCAGAACTTGCTAGGAATCAGCTTGGTGTGCGAAGGCATAGGCATTAATCAGCCTGTCTTAAAGGTATGCTTTCTGAGACACTTAATGCTCTAACTGTAGCTTAGGAGATTTGATGTGGGATTCCCCTCTGTATACTGTGCATATGTTTTATTACCATTGATTAATAAAGAAGCTGCTTTGGCCTGTGGCAGGGCAGAATAGAGCTAGGTGGGAAAACTAAACTGAATGCGGGGAGAAAGAAGGCAGAATCAGGAGACGCCATTTAGCTGCCAAAGAAGACGCCAGAATCTTACCGGTAGGTCACTGCCTCGTGGTGATACATAGATTTATAGAAGTGGGTTAATTTAAGATGTAAGAGCTAGCTAGAAATATGCCTGAGCCACCAGCCAAACAGTGTTATAATTAGTATAGTTTCTGTGTGGTTATTTGGGTCTGGGCAGCTGGGAAACTAACGTACAGTCTCCTTTTACAGAGATTGAACTGTAAGCAGTGTTGCTAGTGAGCACTGAGAAAGTGAGCAGATGTGGACCTGATAGGACCCGGCCCTCCCCACCTTAGTTTCAATGACAGGGTCTCTCACTGAACCTGGAGCTATCCCATCCACATGCTTCTGCCTCCCAGAACCGGGACTGTGGGCACACATTTCTGTGCTTGGCTTTTTCCATGGGTGCTGGGGTCTGAATTTGGGTCCTCAAACTTGCATGACAAGCACTTTACTGACCAAGTTTTCTCCCCAGCTCCTGTTTTTTGATTTTTGTTATTAAAATGTTTAATATTTTAAAGTTTAGCTTGTATGTACAAGACAAGGAAAGCAGAGGAATGGCAGAGAAGTACCTGTCACTCCCTGTTTACCTTTAGACACTCACCCTTGTGTTGTTATAAGGCGGCTTGTGTTGTTATAAGGCCCGTTTGGCAGCTCAGATCCGAAATAACCACACAGAAACTGTATCAATTAAATTACTGCTTGGCCCATCAGCTCTAGCTTCTTATTGGCTAGCTCTTACATATTAATTTAACCTATCTCTATTAATCTGTGTATAGCCACATGGCTGTGGCTTATCAGGTAAAGTTCCCAGTAACTGTCTCCGGCAGGGCTACACGGCTTCTCCCCGACTCTGCCCTTCTTCCCACAGCATTCAGTTTAGTTTTTCCCACCTAGCTAAGTTCTGCCCTATCGACAGGCTAAGGCAGTTTCTTTACTCATTAGTGGTAATCACAGCATACAGAGGGGACTCCCACATCACCCTTGTGGAGCATTATTGAGTGTGTGTGCAGGTCAGAGTCTGACATTCAGTGTCTCCCAACCGTCACTTGTACTCAGAGCTTCCACTAGTCCATCTAGCTGCTCCTGGGACCCCTGTTCCTGCCTCCCGATTGCTGCAATTACAGGCAGGCCACCCCACATGCGCCTGCATCTACATGAGTGCTGGGAATCTGAACTCAGATCCTCATGTTTGCACAGCAAGCATCTCCCAAACCAATTCTTGTCTTTTGAGAAGGGTCTCACACAGCACAGTCTGGTCTTGAAGCCATGATTCTTGTGTCTCCGCCCTCTGGATGGAGGGATTCCAGGCATGCACAGCTGTACATGTGTTCATTTTTATTTTTAAAGCTCTTTCTTAATAAAGAAAGAGCTTAATAAAGCTCTTTCATTCTTACAAAAGTCCTGGGTATTTGAAGTTGAACAAATAGCTAATATTATTCTTACCCGATGTTGCTCATCAGAATTTGGTGGACAGTTGGAAACGACTGTATCACACTCCTTGGCTGGGGAGCAAAAAGAACAATGAACAGTTTGGTAAAGAAAGTACACACTCCAGTCTAAGACCTAAAATTAGAACTCGGAATTAAGAGCTGCCTTGACATCTGGTAAAATTGGGATGGATTTGAATGAGGACAAGTTCAGGTCCCAACTCTTCTCTCCGGCCATGTTCTTCTTGGGAGGGGGAAGGGATTAAGCATGGTTTTGTTGATTTTGGAGAACCAGGGTCTCTTTCACTGCCAACAAATAGAATTATTCAAACAAGGCTATAGCCTTACCAGGGGATCCAGAGACACCTCACCCTGTAAAGACACCTCACCCTGTAGTTCCCACAGAAGCTGTACTCTTTCAAGTGCTCCATTTTCCTAAATGCATCCTGGTGTGGCTCTGTACACTATGAGGTTCCCCAGGGTAGAGGTGTCGGTGACTCTATAGCTGCACCCCTATTTCATCTGTTCAGGACTAAACACCATGTGTTTGGCCAGCCCCATCACCTTAGGGTAGCATCCTGTCTTCATCAACAGGATATAGAGATGGCCATCAAAACTACTTCCTGATCAATGCAGTGGCCAGGCCATGGTCAAGGCCATTTGATGAGAATGAATTATCTGTTCTTGGCTAACTAACTTCACTGGTGACAGCTGCCTGGGGTGGACTTGAACTTGGCCTATGTGGCTCAATGAGCCCCCCCCCTTTGGTTTTTCGAGATAGAGTTTCTATGTGTAGCTTTGGGGCCTGTCCTGGAACTCTCTCTCTGTAGACCAGGTTGACCTTGAACTCGCAGAGATCTGCCTGCCTCTGCCTCCCAAGTGCTGGAATTAAAAGCTTGAGTCACCATCGCCTAGCATGAAGCCATCTCTTGTCCCAGGATGAAACCACTGTTAAGTGGCTGGAGAGGATGGTGGCAGGTTAGTCTCTGGACACACACTTGTCCCAGCAGTGAGAGCACAGTACCTTGGCTGACTGTTGCTTGGGTTCCACTGACTAAGGGGATTCTCTGGTGCTTTGTGTGCACAGTGACCATGTGAGCCTCCTGTGCTTGGGTCTGTTCTAAACATGATCTGTGCATGTACAGCAGCAGCACAGATGATGTGTGGCTCTTCTTGGGCTGGCAGAAGGAAAGGGGCTTTCCACTCAGGGAGAACCCTGTTCGGCACCTTGGTTGATGCAATTCAGGGTAGTGACCTGCCTGCCCCTTCATGGCCTTTTCCCTTACCACTGCCTATCTTTCTCTTGACCCCTAAGGGCAATGAAGTGGTCAGGCAGGGCAGGGCTGAGGACCCTGTGCTGATCAGTAAAGACAGGAGGCAGAGCATTGACTACCATTGCTCCCCCAGCCAGTGCACCTGCACTTTGCTCAGCATTGCTGCTTCCTGTACCCGAAGAGTAAATCTTGCCACTGGGGAGTTGGAGGGCCCCACCCAGGCTACAAACAAGAGCACTCAACTGGATGGAGTCCAGACCCCCAGGAGATCCATGACTAGTCCCTGGAGGAAGGGCCATCAAGGGTTTGTGTAATTTGAACATTCCATACAGCAGGCTATGTGCGGGTGATGCTGAAGTTGTAAAATGAACATTCCAGAAGCTGGGAGAAAGTAACTCAGCACCAGAGTGTTCGCCTAGCATACACAATGGTCTGGGTTTGATCTCCAGCATCACAATTAAAAAAAAATTGAAGTGAAATGTGTATTCTGGGTGCTTAAAATAACAGCAAAGTTCAAATTCCTGGGGCTAGGACTATATCTCAACATTAAAGCAATTCCCCAGCATGCATGAATGCTCAGATTCATACAAAGATGAACAGGATCAATCTATATCACTTTTCTTTGCATTTTAAATATTTTAAAATATTTTATTTTATTTTAATTAATATGTGTATATGTGGGTGCCCTTAGAGGCCAGAAGAGGGCACCGGATCCCCTGGAGCTGGAGTTACAGGCTGTATATGGGTGCTGGGAGCCAAACTCAGGTCCTCTGGAGGAGCAGCACGTATTCATAAACCTTGAGCCATCTCTCCGGCCCCTGCAGCTTAAATTTACTATGAGATGTTTTTGAATCTCATAGTAGGAGAGAGGCACTCCAAAGGAAATTTAGGTTTTTGTATGTATGTGTGTATGTATGTATGTATGTTTGTGTTTTCAGGACTGGGTGTTGAACTAAGCTCCTCACACATACATAACAGATGATCTACCACTGAGCTCGTCTCTGGGTTCCTTTTTGACTGTCTGGTGTCAGGGTCTTGCCTAGTTGCTTAGGATAGCCTCATTCTGTAACCCAGGTAGGCTCTGAACTCCCCATCCTCCTGCCTCAGCCTTCCCAGTAACAGGCCTGTACCACCAGGACAGGCAAAGATGAAATGTTTCTTTAATTTACATGAGGGCTCTCCTCTGTGTACAGTTGCCTCCTGCCGTGAACGCTCACTCAAAAACCAGCACTGTTTTCCCCAAGCACATTCGCAAATGTGACAGGAAGACACATCCTCTTCAGGATGCTCAAGCTAGCAGCTGCTGGGAGAAGTCAGGAGATTCGTGATGGAAGTGTACTGAGCCCCTGCAAGGTAGCATAACAGCTTCATCAGCAGCAATCACCATGGCAACACACCTTTAAGTGTGTTTATGAGAATTTGTCTAGAAAGGTCTGAGGAGGGAAGAACAACCTTGAATGTCAGCACCACCACCCATGAATTGGGGTCCTGAACCAAAATGAAACGAGAAAAGAAGCAGGCTAAGAGCCAGAAGGTCTCTCTCTCTCTCTCTCTCTCTCTCTCTCTCTCTCTCTCTCT